TCTCAGCTGCCTTTCACCACCATGTGCATCAAGGAAAGCCTAAGACTACACCCTCCTGTAACTGCTGTTTCCAGACGTTGTACCGAGGACATCAAATTACCTGATGGCAAAGTTATTCCAAAAGGTAAACTGCTGATATTTTTGCTTTTTCAGTGGGAAACTCATTTTTTGTATACTGACCTGTGATAGTTCACAATTCCCAGTTCAAATAAACAAAATGTGTATGGTGAATGGATCTACCTTTTATCGTAGCAAAAAGTTCAGCAGAGTTAAATAATAGAGTGTAAAGCAGGTTTTGGTGAATATAGATAATGCAACTGGATAAAGACAAAGGGGTAAACATCTGAAGGTTATTTAATGATGAAACAGAAATGGGTAGAGTACATTTCTTTCAGAATGAGGGAGAAGAAGGAAAATATGGGGTAGCCTATGTTTTTACAAAATATCTATATATAACTGTTACATTGATTTCCTGTCTCTTCTAAGGTAACATCTGCCTGATAAGTATTTATGGAACCCATCATAACCCTTTAGTCTGGCCAAATCCACAGGTAAATGTTGTTAAAATAATAAGTTGCTTACATTCTGTCATTCTATGAATATACATCCTGACTTGATGTGTCTTTTGTGTCTAGGTATATGATCCATACCGTTTTGATCCAGAGAATTCTAAGGACAAATCTCCTCATGCATTTATTCCATTCTCTGCTGGTCCCAGGTAAAGATATTCGTACAATAATACTCATAATAGAATTGTTGGATGATGTCTGTGACATTTCATTTTTTTAAAGTCATTTGTTTGAACAAGAGCCAGGCCCGGACTGGCCATCGGGCATACCGGGCAAATGCCCGGTGGGCCGCGATGGCCGTGGGGCCGAGGCCGGCAGGGAGATCACAGGATCTCCCCGGCCGGCCCCTGCAGGGCCAGCGCTATGCGAGCGCCGGCCCCGCTGTGTGCCTCCGTGCGCCGGTGGGGAGATCTGTGATCTCCCTCACCGGCCCACAGGCACTGTTACAGGCGGCCGCAGGCTGGGTGAGGGAGGGAGGGAGGCAGAAGAGAGGACCCGGCGGAGCTCTTACAAGCAGCTCCGCCCGGTCCTCTCGCGGGATTCTGAGCGTTGCCGCGGTTACCGCGGCAATGCTCAGATCTCGCGAGAGTGAACTCTAACCCGCAGGTTAGAGTTCACTCTCACCACTGGACCACCAGGGAAGGCAGCATGGTCCCCCTCCTCCATGGATATCCGGCTCCCCACACCCACGCAGAATGGATCTCCCCCCCTCCCAGGCTAAAGGTAAGAAGGGAGGGACATAACTTTTTTTTATTTATTTTTTTTTATTATTAATTATTAATTATAATAATATTATAATTATTAATAAAATAAAAAAAATAATAATTTCCCTAACAGCCCCCACAGACACACACAGCACCCCCCAGACACACACAGCACCCCTCAGACACACACATCACCCCTCAGACACACACATCACCCCCCAGACACACACAGCGCACCCCCAGACAGACAGCACCCTCACTCCCACACATATACAGCACATATATATTATATAAAATAACCCTCAGTGAGTTAACAGACAAATAAAATTAGAAACCCAGAATGTGACGGCAGATAAAAACACCCTTGCACACAGCACCCCTCTTACACAAACACGCTGCGCACCTCACACATACAATACGTCCAAATATATTTTTTATATATATATATATATATACACACACACAAAAATCAAAACTGGGGATGCACTCACAGGACTTGCTTAAAGTGAAAAAAAGGGACTTTTAATTATTCCATGTGAAATGTACAGAAAAATCAATTTTCCATTCACATGGAATAATTAAAAGTCCCTTTTTTTTCACTTTAACCAAGTCCTGTGAGTGCATCCTCAGTTTTGATTTTTTTATATTTCTGACGTTTGGGATATAGCACCCAGGCTATTAGTTCTTTCTTATTACTTAAAGGAGAGTGCCAAGCATCCTGTTTTTTTGAGATTTTATATATATATATATATATATATTATATATATATATATACACACACATACATACACACACACACTACAGCACCCCTCACACTGCACCACTACACACATTACGCTCCAGATACACGCTAGATCCCTTACCCTATATGCACTCTTAATCCTCTACACACACACACAAACACACACACACAATCTTCTAGACACACTATGGGTCCTTTACACACTAGATCTCTTACACACACACTGCACCACCTACACACACACACTACATTCCTTGTAAGCAAACACATACAACATTCTCTAAACACACCCTCTCTACACACAGTAGTGTGTGTGTATAAGTGACACACACTACGTCACCTATACACACACACTACTGCCCGTATGCACACACTCGCTACATCCCCTATAACACTATGCCCCTATACACGCACTCCCTACAGCCCCTAGCCACACATATTACACCACAAAATTGACCTATTTACACAATACCACACCACACTCTACACACAGGCAATCCCACAAGCATGCGCCAAACACATGCACCATACACTTTCCTGGCCCTTTTGTCCTCTGGTATCCCAATTGTGGAGACACCAGAGACAATTTAAAAGCAAACACAGTGCAAGCATGTTATTACATTTGCTTGTGCTGCGCAGAACAAATACAGGGCCTTTTTCTAATGCTAGAGCTCTTCAGCGGGGCTCTGCGCATTGAACCAACATGCTCACTTTCTCTGGCCCCGCCCACTTTTTGGGGGGCCGCTCTAATTGAAAAATGCCCGGGCCTAATTTTTTTCCCAGTCCGGCCCTGACAAGAGCCAATAGTAATTCAGCACTGTAAACAAAGTAATTATAGACAGCCGGAAGGTCAACAAATAAACAAAGGATAGTCTGCAACTCCAATTTGTGAAAGCCTAAAATAAAGATAAATGTGCCCCCATGCCACCTACTGCACTTGGAGCAGAGAGATGGACAGGTTTATTCACTAAACTCCAAATTTAAGCAAATTAAATTGCATGGCAAAATTCTGTATAAAACACCTGATTTAGAAAATCGATCTAATTGAGTTATAGTCACAGCTTTCCTAATGTAGCCTCAATTTTGCTAATCAGTTGCGAACCATATTGTTGATAGCTACTTTCCACAGATATAATACCCAAGGTATTGTCAAGGTCCCAAAATAGATAGGAAGAACATTTTCTGCATTTTAATCTTTTGTAAAAAACTTTTCACACACATGTTAAGGGGCAGAGATGCTGCCTGAGACGGTTACTATGTCATGTGGCACTTGAAATGGAGACAAGGGCAGGTGTAGGTGACTCTGGATTGGTAGGTGAACATGGCACCTGCATGATTAAGGAATATGTCTTATGTGCTACATTAGGTGGGCTGCCTTTGCTTTTTCCCCTGGATAGATTTATTCCTAGATATTCCCCTGATTCCAGGGATACTCCAAGTACAGGTGCATCTCCTAGCCACATAGATATATTCCATGTTAAGAAACTCTTTCCTGTAACATAAATGAGTTGGTCTTAAAACTTTGACTCATCCCACATAGGAACTGCATTGGACAGAACTTTGCTATGTCAGAGATGAAGGTTGTGCTGGCTCTTACTCTACTCCGTTTCAAAGTGAGCATCGATGAAACGAAGGCAGTACGAAGGAAGCCGGAGTTAATCTTACGTGCAGAGAATGGACTGTGGCTGCAGGTTGAGGAACTGAAACCATAAAACTGTTTTAACAGAGGAATCAGTGGATACACTTGATAAACTTATCTTGTGTGGCGTTAAACATTAATTTAATGCAATTTTAGCTTATGTGTTTGTAGGGAAGGCTTATCATACTTTTAGATTATTATAAAATTGCTAAACTTACTATCTGTTTTCACAATTAGAATTTGTTTGTTTGTTTTTTGTCACACAGACATTTCTTTTAATATATCTCTTAAATGTGTGATATGCATCAATTTTAAAGATATCTTGTTTACTTAAATATAATTAAATAATTCAAAATAAATATTCATCTCAAACAATATACACAAATTTGACAGTACAGTACAAAGCCATAATAGCTACAATTTATTTCACAGAAAGAATAACTATAATAAAAAAAGAGAACAAAGCAATGTGTTTATAAAATGTATACCACAAGCCCCATAACCACTACAATGGTACTTTTGCTAATGGTTTGACTTCTTACCTGGTGTCCCCACGGAGCTTCCATTAGTTCTCCTGAGCTAAATCTTGCCATGCATGGCCAACTTATTGAGCATGTCAGTGGACCCCTCTTAGTCAATGAGCAAATCCCTGCACCGCTAAGGTTTAGTTGAGAACAGAGAACCTACGGCTTTTACAAAGGAGGTGGCTGGTGCATGGCTTTGCACAGATTAGAAATCAAACCCTTAGCAAACAGTTGGACTATTTACATAAGGGGGCACCAGGGAACTCGAGGCACTATAAATACTATAGTACCAGCAGTGGTTATGATGCTTGCAGTGTTCCTTCAAAACATCATAATACAATCATGGTTATTCTACATTTTTAATATGTAACAAGCCAAACCGGGTATCGTTGTATTGTGGAGAATCCCAAATGGTGCTCTATTAAAAAATTATAATAATGTTTGTTTTGTTTTATTATGCATGTAGATTGCAGTATCCACCAGCCAAAGGGGACTTGTCCTCAAGGTGGTCCAATCTTGAATAGACCTCCATGTTCAACAAAAGAATAATTAAAATATGATTTCCCACTATAAAAAATGTACTGTTGCCAATCAGTTAAAAAATATATATGTTTCCTTTATTTCAATCCACTAAAATATACATTATTCACACAAAAGCAAACAGTAAATGGCTTAAATGTCTAATTTATATGGTGGTGGCAATCAAAGAAAAATTTACTTTCTTAAGATCACCAAAGTTTGATTGTGGCAGGATTTTATGGCTGTTAGAGGTGCAATCACTGGATAACCCAGTTGGGATCGCCGGGGGGTAGATCAGGTAAGCTCAACTATGGCAACTCACTAGGACCCAGCAAGGTCAAAATGAACCAAATTAACCCTCGCACTGTCATATACCCCTGCCAATTAATTACCACGCCGAATATTGTGTTGCATTATTTGAAAAGGTTCCCAATAGTAGTAGTTTGGGAGGGGCTTATGGACCTATATAAAGGACTCCCCACTTTCCTACCCTACCATAATTGGTCTGGCAATCTGTATGATGCTACTTCTGGTGCATTCAGAATGCCAATCTCGCTACTTACCCGTCCCTGGAACGCTTCTGTCTCCTGCTCTACGATGTCCAGATTCTGCTCGGCGTTGCTGGTACATCCTGGCTGGATTCCCTTCAGCATAGGCTCCGTTGCCACAGTCAAGTCCTCCGACGGTCACCCGTACAGCCTGCTCACACAGAAGCTCCTGCTGACCTCCGACCCTGTGGACATGCAGACGAGCCGGCATCAGACGTGGAGGGGAATATAATATACTTTACTTCTTCAGAGCCCCTTCAGAGCCCTCTTAAATTTGCATGCGCTATATTCAACTCTGTAACTTTCCAAGACACCATAAAACCTGTACATGGAGGGGGTACTGTTTTACTCGGGAGACTTCACTGAACACAAAAATGAGTGTTTCAAAATGATAAATTGTATTACAACGAGGATATATTTAGTAAAAGTGAAGTTTTTTGCATTTTTCACACACGAACGGCACTTTTACTGACGATATTATTATTGTAATATGTTTTACTGTTTTGAAACACTTATGTTTGTGTTCAGTGAAGTCTCCCAAGTATAACAGTACCCCCTATGTACAGGTTTTATGGTGTCTTGGAGAGTCATTTCATTTTTTTCACATTGAAATTTGCCAGATTAGTTACGTTGCATTTGAGACCGTATGGTAGCCCAGGAATGAGAATTACCCCCATGATGGCTTACCATTTGAAAAAGTAGACAACCCAAGGTATTGCAGATGGGTCATTTTAATATTTATTTGCAGGTATCAATTTAACAGATTTATTTTTATGACGGTTGGTTCTCCATTATGGATCAGTGAATTTGTTTGTCCTTAATATGATTCTGATGATGCTACAAACTGGTTTTCCTTCAAAGTGGCATTTGGATAGGTTATTTGGTAGATGATACAGGTTTAGGAACACAGTCCATATTTTCATATGCTTTTACAGCACTGTCTATGGACTTTCTTACAACGTATAAGTCATGTCTCATCATATTTTACAGATTGCGAGGTTATTCAATTTGGAGAAGCACTTGCTCTTCAGACCTCGAATCCTATTTCAGTAAGTAGATGGTTTATTTTATTATGAGGTGATTACATTTAGGATCTCCTAAGCTACATGTGTAATAATTGGTATACCCATTTTTGTTATTAATAGGTATAGGTCTCTCCTTCCCCTCTCCACCTCCTTTAGTGGGAATCTCAGACTTTGTGTCGGGTAAGTATAAAAAAAAAATCTATCTTATGCTTTAATAGTCACGAGAGGCCAACACCCCACCACAATGTTCGGTGGCCACAAAACCCCTCACGCCAACGCATAAATAGAGACTCTGAAACTGCTTGGCAACTAGCAGGGCCTCACCTGTCACCAACCTAGTAAATTGTTTCGCCACTTGGCACTAACTAGCCAGCCAGTAAAAAAAAATCCAGTTCTAAGCTACGTTATTGCTATATTTCAGTATATCTCAGATCCCCGAAGATGGTGATGACATGTCAATCCCCACTACTCCTGTCAGGTCCGCTACACCTACACATAAAGGTGTTGCCAGTAGCCCTGCATCTATCAGGTGATGGACCGTTACTCGCATCACAGCCGAATTATATAGATGCAACATCCCTTTTCCAGCAATAGCCAGGAAAGCAGAGCTTTTCAGGCTCTTCCGGACCAATATGGACAATACAAATGCTTGAGAGGGCACGTGTAGCTCAAGCAACACCAATCTCCACACGATGATATCGTCAGTACAGAAGCTCATAGTCTTCCCATACCGACAATAGGATCCATTGCTGCTGAACTTCCAGGCCCGTTCCAGACACAACCAGGTAATAGTGCATCCTCTGGTTCAGGATTTTTAAGTTTTTAACCCAGCCCACATGGTGCCTGCGAATCTCAAAAAAGACATCCTGAAGGGCAAAGATGTTAATCTTTTCTCCCTCCTGATCACTTCCCAGGATGTCGTGGAGAATCACACGTACGCATACAGGGATGTTGTACTGAAATCT